ACATAGCCGCATGAAGAATCCTTATAAGGACCATGTTGATTCTCTATCCAAATCACGTCACCCAAATCATCTTCATCTTCATCTTCAGGTTTTTTCTGGTCGGAAATTTCTCCGGAATTTCCCACATTCAACTCCCCTTGCATGGGAAAATCATCTGGTTCTTGCGAAACCTTTGGTGGATAAAACATAGTTTCCAAATACCCATTGCTACGTGGAGAACGTGGTTCATAATACCGGTTAGTCTCAGCCTCAGAATTCTCTCTCAAGCTCATTGACTCAGCAAATGGTAAGTCATCACATGATAGTGGCAATGGAGGCAGCTTTGCATAGTCATCACATGATGGTAGGAATGGAGGCAGCTCTGCGTAATCGTCATACGCCCAATCTCTCGATAACCAATCACTGCATCTATCAGTTACTAAAACTTGTTATTTTGAGATGAATAAGTGACTCTAATGCAAGAAGGCAACAATCATAAAAATATTGCAATTCAACTAAAGAAATGTTACTACTTACAAATCATGATGTTCCTCAAAAATTGGTTGTGCATAGAGTGGTTGATTTTGAGTGTTATTAGAATTGTCGAACACCACATGTGGAACACAAGATGATGTGCATGCTTGAGGTACATCATACATTTGCTTTTCTTCAGGTTTCACAGGTAAATTCATGTTTCCACGTACCATAGAAGTTGGTTGTGCATAGAGTGGTCGATTTTGAGTGTTACTGGGATTGTTGAACACCACATGTGGAACACAAGATGATGTACATGCTTGAGGTACATCATACATTTGCTTTTCTTCAGCTTTCACAGGCAAATTCATGTTTCCACGTACCATAGAAGTTGGTTGTGCATAGAGTGGTCGATTTTGAGTGTTACTGGGATTGTTGAACACCACATGTGGAACACAAGATGATGTACATGCTTGAGGTACATCATACATTTGCTTTTCTTCAGGTTTCACAGGTAAATTCATGTTTCCACGTACCATAGAAGTTGGTTGTGCATAGAGTGGTCGATTTTGAGTGTTACTGGAATTGTTGAACACCACATGTGGTACACAAGATGATGTAGATGCTTGAGTGACAACATGCATTTGGTTTTCTTCAGGTTTCACAGACAAATTCATGTTTCCACGTACCATAGAAGTTGGTTGTGCATAGAGTGGTTGATTTTGAGTGTTACTGGAATTGTTGAACACCACATGTGGTACACAAGATGATGTAGATGCTTGAATGACATCATGTTGAATGACATCATGTTGAATGACATCATGCATTTGGTTTTCTTCAGGTTCCACAGACAAATTCATGTTTTCACGAACCATAGAAATTGGTTGTACACGGGGTGGTTGATTTTGAGTGTTACCGGAATGATTGAGCATCGCATGTTGAGATGATGTACCTACTACTTCTGAGTCACGATGAGTGTTGGTAGCTAGACTGGTTTCTGTGTTGTGAGCATCAAACACAGGTTCTATGCCATCTGAGTAGATTTCTAAGCCAACTCGTTTCCTTTTCTTTAATCTAGTATTCCAAAAGTTCTTGATTTCATTGTCTGTTCGTCCTGGCAACTAAACCAAAACATGGAAGAGCATATATAACATAACATTTGAGTAACTCTTGATGAATATATGAGTGCTTTTGAAAGAAAATACGTGAAGTAAAAGAGCATTATTCAAACCTCCAGTGCCATTTTGGCCCATTTATTTCCCATCAACGCATGTAACCCAATGACTTTGTTTTGTTCTTCTATGCTGAATGCACCTCTCCTCAGATCTGGTCTTAGATGATTTGTCCACCTTAAACGACAACTTTTCCCACAACGAAGTAGTCCAGTGTTTTGCTGCACTGTGTTCCAATTTCCTGATCCATGTTCTCTCACATATGCTGCCAGTATTGCATCTTCTTCTTCTGTCCATTGCCCTTTCCTTAGATTGTTTTCCTCATTACCATTACTTTTATGCTCTTGTGAGGACGAGGACATGGTTGCTATAAAATAAAGAAATCAAAGTTAGTGAATAATATAATACACGGTAAAATAGAAATCACCATTTTTAATAATGTTATAAGAAGTGTATCAACACATACAACATTACAACCATAGTTCAACCTATATGATCACTGACACTAGTTTCTGATACTGTTTGAAATCTTGCAGCTTTGAACTGTAAAAAACAATTTGTTCACTCTCAACTTTGTAAATCACGTACGGCACAGCAACCTGCGAGAACTACATTTGCATGGTTTTGCATGATGTAAGTTGGAATCCAACACATAAATCTTATGAAAAGTTTCAAAACAAATATGCATAGAATGTACTTGGTTACTATAAAGCAAAAACAAATGAAAGAAAAAACCTCTAAACAAGTAGGAGAAAGGTTGCTACTATGATTGCAGTAATCATAATGAAAATCTCGTCATATAGATAACTGTTTACGCTTCAGATTTATTGTGTACAGTAGGTTATTAATTATGAAGGAGGTGTTGTATTTAAAGGAGTAACACTATCTGAATTTGCTATATCTTCCCTTATCAATTAATATTATCACAATAATAACTGATATCAATTAATATTCTCATAATAATAACTGCTATCAGTATTTCAATCAGTTTCAATATCAATATTGTTATTATATTAATATAACAAGATAATGAAATTTAAGTATAATAATATAAAAAAAATTAAATTTTAAATTGTAAACTAGTTATATTTTAAATGATCTAATAAACTTTTATCTCTTCTTAAAAAAAATTACACAAAATTATAAGAACGAAATTTTTATCTAGTAGATGGTTAAGATTTAATAATAAAATCTTCCCAAAATATTCAAATCCTTATGTGGTTAAGATTTTTTAAAATCAAATTTCAAAAAAAAGATAAATGTCAAGATAAATTATATAATATATATAGAGAGAGATAAATAGATATATACTAAATATTAATGATTACATACTAAAATCAATGAGTGGAAGAATAAAATTATAAAATACTTATAGTGTACAAAAGGTGTTACAAGTATGTTTGCAATCTTTTTAAAATTCTAAAAAATAATATGAATCAATATGGCAATTAAAAAATTAACAGAAATATTTTTATTTTTTATTTTTTATTTAGTCACTATAAGTTAAATACAACGAAAAAAATTAAGGACACATAATTTTATATTTTAGAAAAAATAGTTATATTTAAAGATAATTTTGGAAAAAAAAAGTTATATATACTAGGAGTTTTAATCATTTAAAAATATTGATATTCTCAATTTTTATTAAATATTATTATTTTTTCTATGTAGTCCCAGATAAATTTTACTAATATTTTTCTGTGCAACAAATGGGATTAATGTATTTATTGATATAATAAAATTATTCCAATGTCATATTTATAAGTATTCCTAATAATTATACAAAATTAAAATTATATAAACATTTATATTTATTCTTATACATTTTAAATATTAATTATTGATAGTAATTTACGGAATCGTTAATGAAAAATATATTTCAAAAGAAAGCATGAATCATATATAATTTTTTAAAAATTACATTATTAGTTATTAATTCCATATGACGGTAACGTGCTGGTAAAAAAAAATGTTACACTAATGTATTTGATGAATTTTGAAATATTTAGCATAAAAATAAAGGATACAAATATGTAATAGCATGCCTTTAACCCAAATAATTAATCTCTTTCATAATTAAAAAGTTCATTTGACTGAAGGTAGAACGTCAAAACGGGTAACCCGACCCGACCCGACCCAACCTGACCCACCACGAATTAGTTACTTAGTGAGTCAATCCAACCTGACTCATTTATTAACAAGTTGAAAAAATTTGAATCCGACCCGACCCATCACAAGTTGATGGATTAAACGGGTTGGCTCATTGACTCACTTAACTTTTTTTTCACCCTCTTCTTCTGAGATTGTTATAACATGTTACTTTGATCGATCAAATTGAAACAGTAATAATTGGAACAAATCAAACATAAAATTTTGCCGATTTAGTTTAATGAGACATACACAACCGTTTGACCAAGAAACTACATATAGCTGTTAACAAAAATATATAGCAGAGACGAACTTTTGGATAGACAACAACACAATGCAGCACGAAAAATTCTATTGCGAAGTAAAGGTTGTGCGTTTTGAATAATTAGTTTGATTTCAATAAAAAAATAGAATTTGAATAATTACTTTAATTAATTTGATTTCAATAAAAAAAATAGGTGGGTTGGTGAGCCAACCCGGCTCACCATAGGTTTAGTCCGGGTGAGCCGGGTTCTTAGTGAGGTCAAAATTGGCTCGCATCAAAATTTTCACATTTGTTTCTAATCCAACCCGGCTCAAACCCGTGGTAAGCCGGGTTGACTCACGAGTTTCAACTCATTTTGACGACACTAGCTGAAGGTAAATAATATATATTTAATTTCAAATTTATAATTAAACTAATATAAAAGTTCAATAAAATATTTATAACTTTCAAACAACCATGACTATGAAAAATAATAAAACATAAATAGTAGTAAGTATTTTATTTTAAAAAGAATATAATTATTCACAATAGAATTTATCCAAAATGTGAAAACTAAAAGAGGATATATTAAAGAACGAAAAAATAAATAATTCTTAAAGTTATTATTTTTTTAAAAACTCACAAAATAAAGTGTCTTGGTATGATATTAAAGTATTATAAATTATATATTGATTTAAACTTTAATTATTTACCCTGAAGAGTTATAATTTGTGATTTGGAGATATTATTAGTGGAAAAATACCTTTCTATCATGACCTATTATGATAGACAAAAATTATTCATTATAATAGGTTGACCGGTGAGAGAATTATAATAAAAATAAGATATATTATAAAGTAGTTTTTATAAATAAGTTATAATATGAAACTTGGTATCTGTAAATAAATTTAAGAAGTTTTGTATATATAATATGAAATGCGGTAAATTCAAAACCTATTATTATGTAGATATGAACATCTGGCATCTCTAATTTCATTTCACGTTCCTTTTCACTCTAGTTCCTCTCTTTCGCTCTTCGTCTCTGAACCCTTGCATTTCTCGGCTCTCCTCTAAGGAGAGTTAGGTTAGGGGAAGGCGAAGGCCAGCAAACTGAAAGCACTAAAGGTCAGCGAACCATCGGAGACTGCTTCTGCCTCCGCTGCCTCTTCGTCGAAATCTCCAAAGTCTGACCAAGTAGGTTTTATGATTCATAGTTCACATTCTACTATTTGTTTTTTCCTAATTTATTATGTTTTTCTTTTATTAATTTCACTAATTTCTCCTAGATTGGTGCGGATTGTGTTTGGATTAGTGGGGAAATTAGCGACAAACGACGGAAACAGCAACGTCCACGAAGAAGAGGAAGCGCAATGGAAACTCTTCTGGTATTCACATCATCTTGCTTTGTTTACACTATTTCGTCTCTTGTATTCAAAGTTTCGTACCTCACTGTTGCTTCGTTTTCGTAAACCCATAAAAGAAAATGTTGAAGGATTCAATGTGTTTAGAAATTATGCATTTGTGGCGCAGTCCAGTGGTGAAGTTCAAGCTGATCAACAGTCTATTGAGTTGAGTAAGAAGAAGAATAAGAAGGAACAAAATCGACAACTCGAGGTTCCTTTTCTGTTTTGTGCAATTTCGTAGTTACAAATTTTAGTAAGTTTGTGCAATGGTTTCATATATTGAACATGTTTTCAGCGGGACGCGATACTCAGAAAGCAACACAACATTCATGTCTCTGGTTATAATGTACTGTCACCTCTTCAAAGCTTTGGCGAATTGAAATCAAGGTATCTTTCGTGAGAATATTATGTTGTCCATATCTGAGTAATATCCTACATTCCGTCTGCTTCTCATTCTGGTATTTGGTTTGCTAGAAAGGGATGATTCAGAATATTAATAAATTGTATGCAGCTATAAGTGTCCATCGTATTTATTGCGCAATCTGAAGAAGCTTGGATTTAGATAACCAACGCCTATTCAAAGACAAACTATTCCAATACTTTTAGATGTACAAATTATGTCTAGTTACTTGTAGTATAAGTATTTTTCATTTGGTTTTCTCTTCAAAAAACTGTTACTGAAGTTCGATCACGATTCATAAGTAGTTTCTGTTGTCCTTCGGATAGGTATTAACTGAATATTCTTTTACATTGTTGTATTTTTTCTATTATTTGTGATAGGATCGTGAGTGCTTTGCGTGTGCACCAACTGGTTCTAGGAAAACCCTTGCGTTTGTATGTCCAATGCTTATGAAGCTTAAGTTATTTTGCTTATTTTCTCCAACCCAGTTTGCAATTCCTGATGTCCTATGTACTCGATTACTATAATATATGTATTTTATGTTTTACAGGACCCAGAAAAGGGTGGCATTCGAGTTGTTATCCTTTGCCATACCCGTGAATTATCTGCTCAAATATTTCGAGAGTGCAAAAAACTTGCCAAAGGAAAAAAATTTGGTATTAAGTTAATGACTAAAAATCTCTTAAGAAATGTTGATTTTTCAAAGTTTCCATGGGATATACTAATATCCACACCACTCCGATTACGATTGGCTATCAAGAAGAAGAAGATTGATCTCAACAGGTATGATGATTGATTTTTTTTTGTTGATTTAAACTTGAAATCCTTGCAGTATAAGTGTCCTATATCAACAACTATTTATCTTGAATGCTTATAATAGTTGGTTTATTGTTGCTCTCTTACTCATATTATATTGTAGTTTTTTTATCCATTTTTTTTATTTGCTTGTATGAAAGTGGCATGGTCCGAGTGCTATAGGTGTAGCTCTACTTTATAGATTATAATGCTTCAAGCATTATAAAATTTTCCAGATTCTTTTAGATGCATCTTGCGATTGTGTCTACAAAGTTAATAGCAGATATCTGATGTGATTTATTAAATAGCTCGTTGTATTGATTTTTTCATTTCTTCCAACTACTTTGGGTGCTTCAGAGTGGAGTTTCTTCTGCTGGATGAATCAGATAAGCTTTTTGAGCCCGAATTATTCAAGCAGATTGATTCTGTTCTCAAGGCATGCTCCAACCCCTCAATCATTCACTCTCTTTTTAGTACTACCTTACCTGATTTTGTTGAAGTTCGAGCTCGATAACTTATGCATGATGTTGTTCGTGTAATTGTTGGCAGGAAGTAAGTTTAATGTAAAATATTTGCAAACATGATGCTCCTGAGCATATCCTTAATGCAGTTTTCGTTTACATTATTTTGTAGATAATGTCTAGTGTTTTTATTTGAATCAGGAATATGGCTTCTGAAACGATAAAGCATAAAGTGATTTTTACTCGAAGTGAAGAAGGAAAACTTCTTGCAATTCGTCAAAGTTTTGCAGAGGTAAATGGCTAAACTAATTCTTCGGATAATAATTCTAGTCAGTCCCACTTTCATATGCGTCGAGGGGTTGTGTGTCTCCCAATTAAACACTAATTAGTTTTGGTGTGTTTTAAAAGAAAGTCCTTACAATTTACTATTAATATATATTTTTCTATTATTATTTTTTTTGTAGTCTCGTTTGTTTTACTCAGTGTCTCACATGGATATACTTAAGTTGTTTGTTTATTTTGGGTTTGGTGTTAGATAATGTGTCATGAAGATAATATATACTTGGAATTTTTAATTACATATCACTTACCTTGGCTTGGCTTTGGAACTTGCAAAATGCATATAATATTGTAGTCCACCTCTTATTAGCTATATTGGTATTTTTATGAGAAATTGGTTGTGTTGTTGGTTTTGTGAAATTTGGTTTAGCAAAATATACAAAGCTACATGGTGCAAAGGCTAGCTAGAGTATAATATGATATTTTGTGTCCTTGGTTTGAATGAGTCTTGATTATTTGCATTTAATTTGTAGTGTCGACGTGAATTAGGCATCTATGAGTGTGGGTATTATGTAATGAAACACACGCATACCATTATTTGTACAAACATTACTGAATCATGGAATGTTTTAACGGTATTATTTTATTTGTAGATCTTTAATGATTCATATGAAAGACATTAGAAGGAATTGAGCTTCTTTTATTTTAAGTGTTAGTAGAAACTTGACTACAATTCAATAGTGTATGTCCATTAATGTAATATTTGGATTTAATATATAGTTTCTTGTATAAATGATGTATTAAATATTATTAGACTATTTAATGTTTGAAATGAATTCTATTTTGTTAGTTTCATTAAATTTGTTTATTTGAAGTTATATTGATTATAAATTGATTGGATGAGATGATAATTGGATGTCAAATTTAATAATCATTTTTTTTTTTAAGTTGATCACATATTATAACGAACGTCATAATACCTTCCACCCTGGACAAATGAAAAATTTTCATAATAAACTGCACATATTATGTCTGGACTTCAAAAACTAACTATGTCTCGAATAACTACGTCATAATATATCATTTTTGTACGTCATAAAATGTCATTTTTCCACTAGTATTATTTCACAATTTTGTAATTTGCCAAGGATTTTGGCTCAAATGAATTAATTTTAATAATAGTTTTGGCCAAAACAAATATATATCTTATAAATATGAAATTTATTAAACTTATGTGAATTGTAAATACTCAATACTAAAATTAGTCCTTAAATTTATAAAAAAATATTTATTTTTCTCTGCAAAGTGAAAACAACATAAATTCTTTATAAATTAACAAAACAATTTGCTTTATCAATTAAAGATGACTTAAAAAATCATCTGTGTCCATAGATATGATATACTTAATGTTAAGATAATAAAGGCATATCTTTTTTTTCAATTACAAACAAAGGTAAAGAAAAACCATAAATAATATAACGAGGGAATCGCAACCATTGTAGAAAAATCTTTTAAAAAATAAATAGTTTGAGAAATAAAAATATGTTGGGGGTGTCGATTACTTCGACAAACATTCATCAATATTTGGATACGGTTTCTCAAAATGAATATAAGGTATATTATCATATACAATAATAAATAAATATTATATAATTCTTTAAAAAATTATATCAAAATAATTTTGGAAAATTTTGGATAAAGAAATTATTACTATGTGTTTTTCATTATCAAATATTACATAGTTCTTGATAAAGAAAAATTATTTATTAGTTGATATTTTTAATTTTGAAATTTAAAAGTTTTTAAATTTTTTTATTTGAACAAAAATTTCAACTATTAAACAAAACTAATATTTGACATAATAATTAATAATCTTTAATATTTTAAATGAAATTTTAATTATCAAGTAAATCGAGACTTATTATGATAATAAATAATTTTTAAGTTTATTATAGACATGAAATATGTTTAAGCCTTAATATCATAATTAACTTTGTTTTAAGGCAGAGGTGCGGGAAATGAGACCGCGGTCCAGCCCAATAATAATGTAAACAAACAGGGGTGCGGGGAAAGAAATAATAGGGGTGTGCGAATTTACAATCAAAGTGGCCCAGCAAGAAAATATGGGCTGCACAATATGAATGGACCCAGCCCAACAACTAACATAAAAGGTGGAGGATGAAAAAAATGGGAGTACACAAAGCAAGACTCCATCTCCTTCTTCTTCACTCAGGAAGGAAGCCATTCCTCCTTCATTAAGACCTCCATCTCCTATTTTTTCGGTAAAACTATTTTCAACTACAATTTACTATTTTTTTAATCTTTTTAAAATTTAATTATTCAATGTTTTAAAGTAGAACATTTATTTATTAGCTTGAGTCACTAACCATTATTATGCACAACAACAATTAAACAAGCAACTCACACAAATAATGCACTAAGTCTAAAATGAATTAAAGATGTGCACTATAATTTATTTAATTTTAAATATTAAATAAACCTATAATTATCTTATAAATAATATATTGAAATACACCCTACTAACTTTAACTTAAACATTAACATGTGTTTTGTAAACACACTATTCATTCTACGTATTTTTGTCATATTATTTTAAATAAATGTCTAAATTTTTGCCAGATTTTAATTAAATTCAAAAAATTTAAATAATAATAATAATAAGCAGATTGATAAGCATCATACGAAGTAAATTATTGAGGTAAAAACATACGAAGTAAATAATTTATTCACTGTAAATAAAATAACTTCAGCAATGTCGGTAAATAAATAAATAATTTATTTATTTGTTTATTGTTTAAAAAATAATTTAATTTCCTTTCGTTGTTCTTGTTCATGGAGGTGAGTATTAACAGCAGAGCGGCGTAGAAGAGAGTGAGACAGACAGAGAGAGAGGAAGAAAACCTAGAAATCGCGTTTTTGACTTAAGAGCGTGACCCAAATTGTGAAACCCTAACACAGGAACGCAATCTGGAAGATGAGCATTCGAAGGTTGAGTAGCGAAGAATCGCAAGCGCTTTACTCTCTACTCAGAGCGGAACAGCGTCCATTCCATGAGATCCTCTCGCAATTCAACTCCTCAATTCCTTCCTCTCGTCATTTCACTATCTCTTCTTATCTCCTCATCCTGTTGCAGGTAACAATCCCTTTTCTTTTTGCCCTTTTTCAATCCTCACTCGCAATTCAAATTTCTAGGGTTTATCTATCAGAAATCTTGTACATAATCTGGTACTGATTAGAAACTCATTGTTGCATGTCAGCGTTTTGGGCGATTTTTTGTTTACTCCTTTTAAATTGTTGGGATGATTAGCTGGATAATGTGTTGTATTAAATTAATGGGTTGGGTTTTCGTTTTGTAAGGGGGATTTGTGTTTTAATTTTTGTTCGACACAGCTTTACGGGAGTGGTTTTGAAGGTTGTCTAATTGGAATCTTTTTATGAGCAGGACATCAAGGTTCTCACCACCGCTGAGAGGTTAATAGCTTTTTCTCTGCTTGTTGAGGCTTATTCATCCCAGAAACCTGCTTCAAATCCCTTCATAAGCTTTGTTGTCAACGTAAGCAGTTATTGATGTTGCTGTTGTTGTCTTGTGAACTTTTTTGTATGGGTACTGCATATGGTTTGTCTAATTCTCTGAAGATTGGGCCAGATTTTGAATGCAAGAGAAGGATGATATGGTTGTTTAACACATGAAATGGTGACCATAAGAAGGATGAGCTGGCACCTTAAATAAGGTTTTATCATTGAATTAGTTGATATATCGTCAACGATATGTGAGGGGATACATTGCTCAGAGGAATGGAAGGACTGATTTTATACCCGCATCTTTACTGCATTGCACTTAAGAGGCTGTGACCGAAATCTGACACATATGGAAAGCTAACACTTTTATTTCGGAGTGATATTCCACTGTTCACTGATTCTCAAATCTGGAGTTGTGACAGAGTATAACTAACTGTATTTCCTCTAAATTAGAATTATGTTATTAACGAACATGCTACCCAGAAAAAGAGTTAAACAACGTTTATCCATAAACTTGAGGTTGTAGAAATTGAATTTGAACTAAGTGTACCGTAAGTGATGGTGATTTTATGTGAATTAACACAATTTTGTCACTATGTGCCGAAAAATGTTTGAGTTCGTGCCAAACTGAGATGGCTTTAAGAGAATAAAGAGAAACCTGAAAAAATATATTATTGATATGGTTTGAAAAATACAACTGATTGCTTTTTTAGGATACTATAGTTACTTAGATCTAACCAACTGTTAGTTATTTACAACAGAATAATAACAGGAAATGACTGTCTAACAAGTACAGCTCTTACTGACATATGCAGTATGCAGTAGAAAATAACAGTTTTTGATTTAAAGTTAAACTAGCTAGTGGACAACCATGTGAGTAAGATAAGTGGATGAATGGAAGATACTCCAGATGTCCAATTGGAGGTGAGAGGAAGAGCTAAGAGAGCAATAAGATAAACCATTAAAAGGAAAACCTTAAAAAATGGTGTTATTTGAATCTGGATATTATGTAGCCAAGCTTGCCTGCTGAAATACATTGAATGTTAAGATTTCTCTTTAGACAATTCCAATTTGGAACCTGTTGTGAAAATCCTATCTGAAACAAGTATGCAAGGCTAATGATAAGCAATTGGAATCGTATCATATTTCATCTCTATACAAGTAATAAGTTAGATTTTGCTTTTTTTTCTCTACATTTTTTGTTATCGTGTTATATTACTGTTGAGGTTAGGATAATTTCTTGGTTACAGGCTTCCTGTGATGAAGGGTCAGAAAAAGTTGAGAGGGCATTTATTCTGCAGCTACTCGGTTTTGATAGCTCCAATAGTGGGAAAGAGGTTATAATCTGTTTGTTTTTGCCTTAACAATTATCACATATATAGTTCAGTCTTTTATTTATTCTCCATAATGGTGTTTTGTGTTCAACGTCATTCCTATTTTATACACTTAAACTTCATTCTTGTTACCTATTTGCAATTATTCCGAGTTTGTAGTCTGGGAAAGAGCATATTTCTAGATATTGTTGTTAGTCTTGTGCAAGTTTTGATGTTATAGGTACTATACAAAAGTCACCCTTGGTCAAGTGTGGAATAAGCAGATCAATAATTTAAAGGTGTTCTTTTTATCTGTAATTTTGTTGAAATTTAGCTGGAAAAGGGAAATTTTAGTAAGTAGTATGATATAGGAAATAATTTTTTAAGGGAGTTTATTTGACTAGTTTCTGGTTCATATTATTATTAATAGATACTGCTGATATGATTATTTTAATCTTTTTTCCTTTCAGCCGACATATTTG